AATACCCTCGTTGGCTCACTCGCCAACGAATCTTCCTTCTCACCATCTTCTTCTCTTTCAAGGTCCATATAGCTCATATAGCTCATATAGCTCTGCGACAGACCAATTCGACACGCGGGAAAGCTCAAAGTCTTTCGTAAAAGATACTCGAGTGTCGTTAGCACGTGCTCGTAATATTTCTATTTGTTTACGCGTATCCTAGAGTTATTTACTTCAATCGTATCGACACGCCAATCACTCTTGGTCCCCCTATGACGTCAAAACACGTAAATTCGGAAAGTTTTTCTCCGACACGTCAATGTTTGAATAAAATCAGCCAAGTCTTGGTTCTCCCCTTATCCCGATAGGGCAACAAAGCGCTGCTGCTCCTCTTTACCTTCAGGGTGTTTAAATTATTTGGCAGGAAACCGAAAGAGAAAGTAGCAGAGCCGGGAAGGAGAAGGACCGAGACCGCCGTCATGTTTTTCATCGCTGATTGATTAACCGCCGCCTACTCAATGTACACTGAGCGGCACTAATGGCGTCCCAGAGAGAGAAGTTAGAGGAAGAGTAACGAAGCGAGAGTGGGACGGCGGCCAGAAGCCTAGAAGCAAGCCAGGGCCCGAGAGGGACTTCCTGCGCCACCAGTAAACAACGAGCGAGAGGGTCCTATTCTTGCGAGGAACCGGCGCTAGGAGTGAGAGAGACGCTCTTACACGGGACTCCTCCGACTCGTCACAGAAATGGCATCCCAAGCCAAGGGAAGATGCTACCCTTCCCGCCCCATGCTCAGGCCTGCATTGTTTCTAGGCTTATGGCCGCCGCTCTCCGAGACGCAATCCTTGCAATAATATCATATTTTTCACTCCCGACCAGACGAACCTAATACCTAATACTCTTGGGAAAACGGAAGCGTGCATTTTGTGTCGATCGACATGAAATCAACAAACTGTCGCGCACAAGTCCAGCAGAGAGATCGAGAGTTAATGTCAGTGTGATCCAGTAGAATCTTGAGAAGTTTGAATCTGCCTGCAGTCGAGTCGACGGTACGTGGCGCTAGAGAAACACGGAACGTCGGAACGTCAGACCGTCTTGTTAGTAGCGTTAAGTTGCTGCCTCTAATGTATCTGCTGGTCGTACGTCGCCGAGATTCATCGATTCTGCTCACGAGGCCATTTGCCACCAATGTCAATTAACATTATAATACTTCAAGACTCGTCTTCGCGGCAGGGCTCTGTAATTTCTTTTAATTATCTCGGTCATAAGTTATAACTAGATTCACGCTTTTTCGCATCTTTATCGAGGTTCTGCGCGGGTGCTGGAGAGGGGGTCGGTAGGATATAGATGTTGCTCCAGGTAGGCGACTGCGTATTCGAGGAGCGAGCGGCGCTCGCGCAATGTAGTTCCTCGGCTATCTTTGACGCGGGAGCATCTCTTTTCGAAAGCTTCCATCCTTTCCTCGCACTCTCGCCCGCGTAATTATCGGAATCACTTCTGTCTTTTGCCACTGATCTTCCTCCCGAGGAGCTTCGTGTCCAGCCGTGTTTTTAGGGCGACGGGCACCCTCTCGTAAGCCCAAATATGACAGAACCGTCAGTCACGGCGTATTGCGTGCCGCTCGGTGCCAAAGTAGAAGCACGCCGAATCTATTCGACACTCGGCAAGTTCCTTACAGCATCCTCGAGAACAGTGTGAATGCGGCGGAAGTTCCGATTGACGATCAAGACTCGTTCCACGAAATTTCGCCATTTCTCCGAGCCCATTGGTCCGGCCTACCGATTAGATCGAGAGAAATAGACTGTCCAAGTGAATTCGTGTTAACGCGAGTGCCGGCTTCTTAAAACGCGAGGAAGCTTGTCCAAACAAATATCTACGTAAACGCACTAACAAGTGCACTCGACTTCGCGTTCTACGATGTGATACGGTATCATCCGACGGATTCCCTATTGTCGTCTGTGATAGGTGCTACATTCATCTGTGATCCTCTATAGATTTCTAGAATGTGCAACCCACTTAGATGAGAATTTGGTGTGACAATTATCTAAAGTCCCAGCATCTCTTTTCCCAACGTATTACCATAAAGCGCCCCCCCCCCCCC